AAACCACGGAGCAGACCCGACCAGCAGAACCCACGGAGCAGATCAGACCAGCAGAAACCACGGAGCAGACCCGACTAGCAGAAACCCACGGAGCAGATCAGACCAGCAGAACCCACGGAGCAGACCAGACCAGCAGAAACCACGGAGCAGACCCGACCAGCAGAAACCACGGAGCAGACCCGACCAGCAGAAACCACGGAGCAGACCCGACCAGCAGAAACAGAACCCACGGAGCAGATCAGACTAGCAGAAACCCCGGAGCAGACCCAACTAGCAGAGACCACGGAGCAGACCAGACCAGCAGAAACCACGGAGCAGACCCGACTAGCACCAGCAGAACCAGCACGGAGCAGATCAGACCAGCAGAACCCGGAGCAGACCACGACCAGCAGAACCCACGGAGCAGATCAGACCAGCAGAACCCACGGAGCAGACCAGACCAGCAGAAACCACACGGAGCAGACCCGACCAGCAGAAACCACGGAGCAGACCCGACCAGCAGAAACCCACGGAGCAGACCCGACCAGCAGAACCCACGGAGCAGATCAGACTAGCAGAAACCCCGGAGCAGACCCAACTAGCAGAGACCACGGAGCAGATCAGACCAGCAGAAACCACGGAGCAGACCCGACCAGCAGAACCCACGGAGCAGACACCGACCAGCAAGAACCCACGGAGCAGACCCAACCAGCAGAACCCACACGGAGCAGATCAGACCAGCAGAAACCACGGAGCAGACCCGACCAGCAGAACCACGGAGCAGATCAGACCAGCAGAACCCACGGAGCAGGACCAGACCAGCAGAACCCACGGAGCAGACCCGAAATAGCAGAAACCCACGGAGCAGAACCCACCAGCAGAAACCACGGAGCAGACCCGACCCATAACCCCACAGAGCAGATCCAGACTAGCAGAACCCCCGGAGCAGACCCGACTAGCAGCAGAACCAGCAGACCAGACCAGAGACCCCGACTAGCAGATCACCGACTAGCAGAAACCACGGAGCAGAACCAGACCAGAACTAGGCAGAGTATACCACGAGACAGCCGACCAGCCGACCCTCGGAGCAGAACCGACGGAGCAGACCAACCATACCCCACGGCAGACCCAACAGAGAACCAGACAGAGCCCAGAGCAGACCCTCGGGAGCAGACCCAAGACTAGCAGAAAACCACGGAGAAGACCCAAATAGCCGAAACCATGGAGAAAGACCCAACTCGCAGGGCAACCCACGGAGCAGACCCGACTTAAACCCACCCCGACTAGAGCAGACCGTACCCGACCCTCGACTAGCAGAACCGACTAGCAGACCCCACAGAGGAGAGACCGACTAGCAGAACCGACTAGCAGAGCCCACGGAGCAGAACCGACTAGCAGAACCCACAAAGGAGGATTGCAGAGCCGTTCCCGACCCTCGGGGTGGCAGAAGCCGTTCCCGACCCTCGGGTTGGCAGAGCCGTTCGGGGTGGCCCCCGACCCTCTCGGGGTGGCAGAGCCGTTCCCGACCCTCGGGTTGGCAGAGCCGTTCCCGGACCCTCGACCCTCCCCAGGATTGCAGAGCCGTTCCCGACCCTCGGGTTTGCAGAGCCTCGGTTGGCCCGTTCCCGACCCTCGGGATTGCAGAGACCCTCGTTCCCCGACCCCTTGCAGAGCCGATTGCAGAGCCGTTCCGGGATTGCAGAGCCGTTCCCCGACCCTCGGGATTGCAGAGCCACCTACAGAGCTCTCCTCATTCCAGGAGCAGCTGCTGGAAGATCTCATCATTCCTCCCACACCCGCCCTTCCAGCATGACGGCCCCCACCTGACATCACTCATCGCTAATCACCTGCTGCCCTCGTCACCCCCCCACAGCTACTGTGTGCATCACTCCACCCCAACATACATGTGTAATAATGATGGCGTGTGACTGCGGGGGAGGGGGCATTAGAGTGTCCCAGCTCCTCTGGTACAGAGACTGATGGGACTGTGGGGGAGGGGGCATTAGAGTGTCAGCTCCTCTGGTACAGAGACTGATGGGACTGCGGGGGAGGGGGGCATTAGAGTGTTAGCTCCTCTGGTACAGAGACTGATGGGACTGCATGCGGGGGAGGGGACATTAGAGTGTAAGCTCCTCTGACAGAGACTGATGGGACTGCGGGGGAGGGGACATTAGAGTGTAAGCTCCTCTGGTACACAGACTGATGGGACTGGGGGGGGGGGGGCATTAGAGTGTAAGCTCCTCTGGTACACAGACTGATGGGACTGTGGGGGAGGGGACATTAGAGTGTAAGCTCCTCTGGTACAGAGACTGATGGGACTGCGGGGGAGGGGACATTAGAGTGTAAGCTCCTCTGGTACACAGACTGATGGGACTGTGGGGGAGGGGACATTAGAGTGTAAGCTCCTCTGTACAGAGACTGATGTGACTGTGGGGAGGGGGGACATTAGAGCGTAAGCTCCTCTGTACAGAGACTGATGGGACTGTAGGGGAGGGGACATTAGAGTGTAAGCTCCTCTGTACAGAGACTGACTGATGGGACTGTAGGGGAGGGAACATTAGAGTGTAAAATTTTTTGTTTATTAAAATCTTGCAAACAAAAAACATCATAAAAATCATATTTACATATATACAGAATAAAAATATGTATTTTTATAAACAAAACCAGCTTACTTCAGCAAAATAACAAATCCTGACCGTCACCTAAACACCCCCTCAGGCTAAGAAACGATTAAACATTCACCCCATACATTCATCCCACACATTCATCCCACACATTGAATCCCACACATTCACCCCATACATCAAATCCCATACATTGATCCCACACACATTCATCCCACACATTCATCCCCATACATCGATCCCATACATGCAGCCTTTCTTCAAAAATCTGATGTTACAAAATCTAGGGGACGTGAAAGGACAGAAAGAGAAGCCACGCCCCCAGAGACTGACAGACAGCAGCTACGGGGACCTGACATTCCTCCACGCCTTTGTCCAGGCTCCCGGCCGCCACCTGTCCTTCTCAAGACCCCGAATCTTCCCAACCTCACCCAGAATGTTGTTCACCACCACCACCACCTCGACAGGAAGGACTTTTTTGCGAATGGAAACCTGACACCGTGCATTCCACGTGTGGTAACGGACTACTAAGCTAACTAGAAAAAGTGTCTCAAAATCAAAATCCCGGTGAGTCTGAAAGGCACCGTAAGACCACTCCGCGTAACTCAAGCGGGAAAGGAAAGGGATCCCCAGAGCCCCACCCACCCGCTTGTAGACTTCTATATTGAAGGGGCACTGGAAGCAAGAAATGGTCCATCGTCTCCTCCACTCCACCACACACTCCACTCTTGGACAACCACGGTTCTCCGCAGAGCGATGCTTCAGGTTGCCCTTCACATAGAGTCCCATGGAACGAGAGCCAGGCCAAATCCCGAAACTTTAAAGGGATTCTCTCTCTCCAGATTCATCAAACGCAGACCCTGGGCATATCCGTCCCTCATAACCGGGGGCAATCCCGTTCCCTCATAACCGGGCCTGGGCAATCCCTCAAGGCCAATGGCTCGCTAAAGGCAGATTCAACAACCCTCCTCTCCAGGGCCTTCCTAGGAAGAGATTTAATTTCCTCCGCCGTCACTCGCCATTGCCGAAGCATTTTCAGACACGGGGCAACATAAGCCGGAGCTTACCATGTTGGACCCTCAGGCTTTTCACTGGCCCACCATTCTCCCAGCTCCGTAGAAAAGGCCTAAACCAGGACTGAAAAATACCAACCCACCCAGGCGGTTCCTCTGCCAGCATGCTACCAAAATTATGTTTCAAAAACATCAGAGAAAAGAAAACCACCGGGTTGACCATACCTAGGCCACCCATCCGCCTGGGAAGGTAGGTTACAGACCTCTTAATGAGGTTCAGTTTGTGCCCCCATAACAGCTGGAAGAAACAACTGTAGATCCTCGCATAGAGAGACACTGGCAAAACACAGACAAAGCTGACATACAGAAATACCGGGATCAGGTAAGTTTTAATCAGGTCAATCCTTTCCCTGTAAGAGAGTTTCCAATCCTTTCCAGCTGGCCACCTTGGCATCGGCATCTTGTAGCCTGCTTACCCAATGTGCAAGGCCGTAATCACCGGGACCAAATCTGATGCCTAAGACTTTAATTTCCTGCTGGGGCTCTGGGAAGGCGTCCGGAAGGGTAAAGCCTTCACCTTCCTCTCCCATCCAGAAAACCTCACTCTTATCCTGATTGATCTTTGAGCCAGATGCCTCAGCATACTGTTCCATCACCGAGACCACCTCCTCCGCCTCCTGCCTCAGCATACTGTTCCATCACCGAGACCACCTCCTCTGCCTCCTGCCTCAGCATACTGTTCCATCACCGAGACCACCTCCTCCGCCTCCTGCCTCAGCATACTGTTCCATCACCGAGACCACCTCCTCCGCCTCCTGCCTCAGCATACTGTTCCATCACCGAGACCACCTCCTCTGCCTCCTGCCTCAGCATACTGTTCCATCACCGAGACCACCTCCTCCGCCTCCTGCCTCAGCATACGGTTCCATCACCGAGACCACCTCCTCTGCCTCCTGCGTCCCGGAGATGAAAACAGACACGTCATCAGCATAGGCCACGACCCTCAGAGGGGGCTCCCCAGGAATGCCCAAAGGAACTCCACACAACGGTCCGCTCTCTAACCTCCGAATGAAGGGATCGATTACAAAAACGCATATAGCAGAGGACTCAAAGGACACCCCTGACGCACACCTGAGCCAACCTCAAAGGGTCGTCCAATCCAACCATTCACAAGCATGAAGCTTTCAGCCCCTCTGTATAAGGTCTTTAGCCAATCGATAAAGCCCCCCTCCAGGCCATACTTGCCAAGAAGCAGCCATAGGTACTCATGATTGACTCGATCAAAAGCTTTGGCCTGATCCAATGCCAGCAGGAACTTTCCCCAGCCTGCAGCCCTGCACCGCTCCAGGGCCTCCCGGACAGCTAACACCGCTGAAAAAGTGCTTCTTCCCTGAACCGAACAGTGCTGATGGCGAGAAAGTAAATTGCCCGCAACAGACGATAAACGCCAGAAAATAATTTTTGCCAATATCTTCCTATCAACATTGAGAAGGCTAATGGGCCGCCAATTCTCAATTCTCGAGGAATCCTTACCCTTTGACAGAAGAATCACTGCAGATTGTCCCATGGAGGGAGAGAGCGAACCCTCTCTCAGACATGGAGGGGGAGGGACCCTCTCTCAGACATGGAGGGGGAGGGCGGACCCTCTCTCAGACATGGAGGGGGAGGGCGAGGGCGGACCCTCTCTCAGACAGCCATTAAACACCTCCACCAAATATGGGGCCAGAGTCACCTTAAAGTGCTTATAAAACTCGGCTGTCAATCCGTCTGGCCCAGGCGACTTCTTCATGGCAAGCTGATCAATAGCTTTCACCACCTCATCTGCCGTGATGTCCTCTGTCACCTCACAGGAGAACTGCCATTTCCCAGTCCTGGAGTAGAGTCCAGAAAACCCAACATGCTCGCCCGATCGAGGTCCCTCCTACCCAGGAGGTCAGCATAATATGACCTGGAGGTTTCCAGGATCCCTGACTTGGACTTTGTCAGGGAACCCGTACTGTCAACCAGGCCTACAACTGACTTAACTGCTCTACCTTGTTTGCAGTTCTGGTAAGGGTCGGGTGAGTGATATTTCCCATAATCCTTTCCAGAACCAAAGAGGCATGCCTGTCATATTGACACTGCCTGAGCAAGAGTTTAACCTCAGAGATCGCTTCTGGATCCCCATTTTTCGAGACAAGCCGATCGAGCTTCCTCCGCAGACGCTGGTAGGTGACATACTTATCAAGCTGTTTATTTCTTCCTATGGCCTTGAAAACCCAACGATCCTTCGTTTTGTAAGCTCCCACCACTCGGACTTACTGCTGCAAACGTCCATGATTGATACCTGTGCCTGAAAAAAATCCTCAAAGGATTGACTCACCTTCTCATCGTCCAGGAGTGCCGAATTCAGCTTCCAGGTACCCCTCCCCTTAGGTGGTGTATCGGGGCCACTCAGAGTCACAGACAGAATACAGTGATCGGAAAACTCTACCGCCTGACACACTGGTGCCGAGAAGGCGGAGTTCCCCTTTAAAAAAAACCTATCTATTCTACTCTGACTGGAACCTCGCTGAAAAGTGAATCCCGTGTCGTCTGGGCAGCAATGAATGTGCACATCAACCAGACCTGCCTCTCTAGCCGTCACAGTCCAGCCTGACTCCGGTCCCTCTCCTGTCCTTAGTCCTAGTGACGGTGTTAAAGTCACCACCGAAGACAACTTGCTGGGCTGTAAAAAGGAAAGGCTTGATCTTCATGAAGAGGCATTTCCTGTCCCATTTTGTCTGGGGCCCATAGATGTTAATCAGGCGCAGGTCCTGCCCCCCCATGGAGACGTCTAAGACCATGCATCTCCCCATTTTCTACCTCAATAATCCGCCGACAGGTTACCATGCCGGAAAAAAGTACCGCAACTCCAGTGTAAAGGCTCGGCCGCAAGAGACCAGAAGGAGGGGCCGCGCCTCCACTCCTTCTTCGCCATATGGACATCCCCCAAACTGGACAACCTGGTCTCCTGCAAAAAGAAAATGTCAGCATCAAACCTGCTGAGCAAAAATAAGGCCATGTTACGAGCGCTTACTGATTTTATGCTGGCGACATTAATGGTCGCCACCTTCAAAGGAGTGGGAACCGCCATCAGGATGATCGAGGTACCCGTTTCTTAGCCTGCTTACCCCCCTCCCTACTTGGAGACCCTACACGCTTCAGTGTCCTCTGTGTTTCCTCCTCCATGGAAACCAGAGACTCATCCCCTGAAGATCCCTCATCCTCCACCTCAGATAACACTTCAAATGTGTTTCACACCTCCACCCTCCCAGGGTCAGGTACAGGCACATCCTTCTTCCGCTTCTTCTTCCCAGACTTCCTTTTTGCCTCCAACCACTCCATATCATCATTTGATAAACCGGCCCGCAAAGCCCCCCCCTCCCCCCTTCCCTTCCACCCCATCACCAAACAAGTCCCCCATCATTCACTCCAACCCCCCCACCACGCCTCACCCCCTCTCACGCGCTCTGACCCTCTGACGCCGGGGAGGGGGGGTCGGTGCAACCATACACATTGGTCCAGTTCCCTCCACAGCCCCCACTACCTCTGGGGAAACTGACACAGGAGGATCAGACACAACATCCACGGACACTGACTCAGGGGGCACAACACACGGAGATGACACATTAGAGGGACCATCAGACACTGGGACCACAGGGACAGAGACATTGGGGACCCCTGGCACAGCCTCCCTCTCCTCTGCCTCCTCCATGTCCAGACGAAAAAACTCTTCCACCAAAGCTGACTGGTTGTGCATGGCCTCAGGGCACCGGTTGTACGAATGGCCAACCTTATCACACAGATTGCACCTGATGATATTACAATCCTTAGCCAGGTGCCCCAAATCCTGACATAGGGAGCACTTCATCTCTGGGCATGAGGAGGTGAAGTGACCCCGAGTGACCCCGAGAACCGCACTTATTGCAGAGCTTGGGCTGTCCAGGGTAGAACACCACAATCCTGTCCTTCCCAATGAAGGCTGAGGAGGGCAGATGCTGGACCACATTCCCACACACATACAACCTCATCTGCACCGACCACCCACCAGTCCATATCCCTCTCTCATCCACGATCTTCCTCAGGGGTGCAAGTAGCTCCCCAAATCTCCTCAGCCAGACAGCCAAGTCAGCCGAAGGAATGGACTCATTCCGTACTAGAATGGTGACCGTCTTCACTAGAGGTTGGCGTGAGACCACCTTTGGGACGAGTCCCCTCCATTCCGGGCAGACCCCCATACATGTGTTCATACTTCTCCCAGAATATATCCAGAGACTCGGGGCGCACAAAGGACAGATCATACTCATAGGATCCTACAGGGCTGATCAAGGCGAAGATATCATCCGCCCTAAACCCCATCTCCAAAATCCTGTCCACCACCGACATCCTGACCGGGGGAGCACCCCCACCTTCCCATCTGAGCTGCACCAAATTCCTCCTCCTGAAGGACAGGGGTGCAGATGGCAGACCTGCAGCAGACCTCCCCCCAGAGCTGACAACATGATGTGACCCCCTCCTCCCAGCCAGAGCCCCAGCATAGGTCTTATTTGCAGCATTAGATGTAGTGGACCTTAAAGCTGCACCCCGCCCATTGGTTGCAGGAACCTCAGAGCCCCCGCTCTGCAGACCACCATCAGAGGCAGCAGCAGTCACTCCATCCACCAACACACAGGCATTCCCCTTTCCAGCATTGCAAGCACTCTTATCATCCATATGTTTCCTTTCACTCGTGGCACTACTGCTCCCAGCAGACCCACTCACACCAGATGCTCCTGTCTCCCCCTCCCCCAACATACTCCTCTTAGGCAAAAGCCTTCCACTCCTGGTCACTCTCCCCTGGGTTTCAGCAACCCCTTTCAGAGTGCTGCTGACAATTTCCCTCCCACCATTTTCTGCTGCATTTGCAGCCATCAGCAGGGATTGTCCAGCAATAGTCTCAGATCCCCCCCTTTACCTTCCCCCCCAGCAGAGTCCACAGTCACAGGGTTCCTGGTATCAGAGTCCTCAGTCCCAGCAGAGTGCAGTCCTGCAGGCACAGCAGCCATCTTCCCTGCAGAGCTCTGTGCACACACAGGAGGATTTCCCTCCAAAACACTGCAGTGCACATGGCTGTCCACACTGGAGTCCAAAAAGGCACTTTTAATAAAGCGCGGCTTTTCTGTTTTTTTCTCCTTTACAGGACCAGGTACAGAGTCCTCACCGTCATCTTCATCCTCAGAGTCCTCAGAAAAGCGGAAAGTTCTTCCAATTAGGGAAGACTCCAATTCCTCAATGTACTTTAGCAGCCCTCCGCCATATTCCTCTACCTCCTGTGCTGATCCTCCAGCTTGCTGTGGAGGGAGGGGGGCAGAGGCTGACATTTCCTCCAGGGAAGCAGATCCTGAGGTGGATGGGATAGCAGGGGCAGCATCCAGGACCCCCTCCTCACTCTCCACCCGTACTGCCACCGCCGATGCTGGATCCTTACCGGAGTCTCCCTTCATCTTCCGGAACCTTTCCTCATTCCGGAACTTTTCTCTGAAAGCTCCGCTCTTCTCCTTCAGCGTCTTTACCAGATTCTGCTGCTTCTTAATGGCGACCTCCAAACCCTTCATCTCCGGCTTCATGCTCTGCCTCTTGCTGCTCCATGACTTGTCATGGAGAACTTTCTTTTTCTTGTAGTCAGTTTTTCTTCAGACTCACCACCAACTTTTCCTCCTCCTTTGCGATTCTCACCAGATAATCAGCAACCCGCTCTCTAAGACAGGGAGGGATTCCCCACTTTTAGGGCCACAGCCTAGGTCTTCAGGTGCTGGTAAAGTATGGGAAGGTAAGCTGGGTCCCTCAGGGGGAGCATGGTCTGAGCCTAGCCCAGAAGAGGCCATGTTTCTGGGGCCAGGCGAGCAGGCCTGGCCCCCTAGTGTCTGGAGAGGGAGAGCACCTGCAGCACAACCTCTCTGGTGCAGAGTGGAAGCTCCTCTGGTACAGAGACTGATGGGACTGTGGGGGAGGGGACATTAGAGCGTAAGCTCCTCTCTACAGAGACTGATGGGACTGTGGGGGAGGGGACATTAGAGTGTAAGCTCCTCTGTACAGAGACTGATGCACTAAATGGGCTACAGTGAGACAACCCCCAAAACAGGAATGGTTTCCCAGGTGGAGGCCACTGACATTTTTTCCCTCCGCATCTTTTTTGACTGTTTTTCAATGGTTTTGCATTTGGCTCGGGTCAGTGTCACTACTGGTAGCATGAGGCCATACCTGGACCCTACAGAGGTTGTACAGGCAGCCCAACTCCTCCAGGATGGATCAATACCTGCCATTACCAGAAGGTTTATTGTTCTCTTAGCACAGTCTCAAGAGCACGGAGGAGATTCCAGGAGACAAGAGCATGGAGGAGATTCCGGGAGACCAGAGCACGGAGGAGATTCCGGGAGACCAGAGCACGGAGGAGATTCCGGGAGAGAGCACGAGAGCAGACGGAGGGAGATTCCGGGAGACGAGAGCACGGAGGAGGTTTCCGGGAGACCAGCGCAGACCAGCGGAGGAGATTCCAGGAGACGAGCGCACGGAGGAGATTCCAGGAGACGAGAGCACGGAGGAGGTTCCGGGAGACAGGCAGTTCCTCTAGGAGGGCTGGACAGGGCCGTAGAAGGTCCTTAACCCATCAGCAGGACCGGTATCTGCTCCTTTGTGCAAAGAGGAAGAGGATGAGCCCTGCCAGAGCCTACAAAATGACCTCCAGCAGGCCACTGGTGTGAATGTCTCTGACCAAACAATCAGAAACAGACTTCATGAGGGTGGCCTGAGGGCCCGACGTCCTCT